GATGCGACAGAATTTCCCAGCCTAGCTCTGCGATTTTCCGACGAGTCGCCAAAGCAGCATGTGGTCTGGCATTATCATCGGTAGCCATGTTTTCACGACCGCGTCTCGCTTAATAATGACATGAGACATCTTTGTTTCAGTTTATGTAGGAGAGTACATGTGTGTAAATGCAATGATAAATAGTCATATATGTCTCAAATCAACATGTGCATATGGATTGAAACTTGAAGTGACACTATCGGACAGAACTTTCCGGTAGACCTAATATAAGAAGGAAGTCACATTGATTTTTTTTGATGTTGCGTCGAGTGTTATGATCTGGTATAACATTTGTTTTTTCCAGTATCGCTAGAAATATGAGATGATAAGCCTCGCAGACATGTGGTATTGATAACTATCTTGCAGATCATTGTGCATTTATGCATGACGTGTATGCACTTGTAATTGCACGATAATAACACGTAACAGTCAATTAAAATTAGTAACATTCTTGTTTGATTTCAGCAACAATGAATTTTGTATTGGGCGAAAATAATTAACATTCTTCTTTGTTCTATTCTTTATGGAGTTATTTATGTAACCGAGAGCTATTTTAGATTTTAGTTCTAACGACATTTCAGAGACAATTCGGATAAATCGTTTTTATACAAATAAATCATGTCGGTGTGATATTTTATGAAGTTTTTCTTTTTTAAATATACAAGGGGTGTCTCAGCGAAAGTAGGCAATCTGCTGTGCTGTGAACAATTATAAACTAGAAATAACTTTTACGTTTTCACCGATATTTAATCAAGAACCAACGAAAACTATATCTGTGTGTTTCTATTTTCTGTTATTTCTAATTTAGAAATGTACAAATATGATATTTTTTACTAAGTTATTGTTTAAATATCGCTAAAAATGTAAAAGTTACTTCGAGTCTATAATTATTCGTACACTGTTATGTAGACTGGTAATTTCAACGAAATCTGTTTTTTTTTTACGACTTTCAATCAAAAAGAAATCTAGATTTCGATGAAATTTTCATAGTCAGCGAGATCTGCAAAACGGAGATTTTTAAATTTTCGTTACAGATTCAGATAATTAAGTTGAGAATATGACACTTTCAATTTCCATTCCAACCAAAGGCGATTTTTACAAAAACTTTTTTTACTCCTCCGTAAAATCGTCTCTGGCCTAACATTTCAGAAAGCATCCAAATCATTTGGTCCAATTAGGTAACGGTTATTCCGTTGTGAAAGGTGTTAACGTGCTCTCCGACGGCGTCTGTAGACTCGACAGTGCCGGACATAAAGATAGCACATTACATTTAACATTACAACAACAGGTAATATTTCTAAATAAATTTGCAAAATATTATAAACGTGCGCAAGTGAAATAAAATTGCATCTCGCTGGTCTATACAATTTTATTTGAAAGAAACAAATGTCGAGACAAATTTTGGATTGTCCAGCAAGGTCATATCGTTGAAAATTCTACCGGAAATCTTAACCGAGTTGTACATGCAAGTTGCAGATAATTTCAAAACATCATCAGATAAAAAATATACATATACAGGGTGGGGCATTTTAAACAGGTCACCTGAATAACTCGCTTGTTTTCGAAGATAGGAGAAAATGTATTAGACCACACTTACTTGGTATCGGGGGGCTCATATATATAATAATCTGGTATTACCAAGTTTTCTGTAGGTGGAGGCGTCAAGGAGATATGAAGGTCAATTCTGTTTTTTTAAAAAGGAACAATAAGTTTTTTTACTTACATTCTGATAGAGTGTTTCGAGGCGAATACAATGAACTATTGTGAAGATCATTCGAGGTCACCCAAAGTGACACAGAAAAGCAAAACTAAAATACAGTAAAATGGCAAATAATCACACAAATTTGTTTATAAATCTAATCAAAAAATAATGTCATCTATTTACTTGTGTGCAATTTTTATCGTCATAATGTAAAAGCTAAGATCAATTCCAATGCAACGACCACAACACTATGACCATACGACATTTAGTACGAAAAGTCCAGAAATATTTACGACATTTCTACTGCTTCGCTGAAATGTATAAATCTCTGAATTTTTCTTCAAATTATTTTCTAAAACAGATAATTTAAAATTACCAATATCGTTTGAGGATACAGACAAGCGTACAATGTGATCGAATGTTTGTTTATCTTTTGTGTTCCGTGTCACGTAATACAAACACGTGATACACAAGTATTCGAAAAGCACTCCGAGACAATTTATTTTCTCTTGCAGTTGACTTTNCAGAAAAGCAAAGCTAAAATACAGTAAAATGGCAAATAATCACACAAATTTGTTTATAAATCTAATCAAAAAATAATGTCATCTATTTACTTGTGTGCAATTTTTATCGTCATAATGTAAAAGCTAAGATCAATTCCAATGCAACGACCACAACACTATGACCATACGACATTTAGTACGAAAAGTCCAGAAATATTTACGACATTTCTACTGCTTCGCTGAAATGTATAAATCTCTGAATTTTTCTTCAAATTATTTTCTAAAACAGATAATTTAAAATTACCAATATCGTTTGAGGATACAGACAAGCGTACAATGTGATCGAATGTTTGTTTATCTTTTGTGTTCCGTGTCACGTAATACAAACACGTGATACACAAGTATTCGAAAAGCACTCCGAGACAATTTATTTTCTCTTGCAGTTGACTTTGGGTGACCTTGAATGACCTTCATAATAGTTCGTTGTATTCGCCTCGAAACACTCTATCAGAACGTAAGTAAAAAAACTTACTGTTCCATTTAGAAAAACAGAATTGACCTTCATATCTCCTCGACACCTCCACCTACAGAAAACTTGGTAATACCAGATTATATGAGCCCCCCGATACCAAGTAAGTGTGGTCTAATGCATTTTCTCCTATCTTCAAAAACAAGCGAGTTATTCAGGTGACCTGTTTAAAATGCCCCACCCTGTATATTCAAGACGCTTAGGAGCAATTAGAGAAAAAACCTGTGAAAAAAGTTCCATAAATCTTTGCCAAAGATGATGATGACTATTATAATAAATGCAAAGAAGGATCCACAAAATATTGAGCATTAAATATCATTCCTTGATTTATTGCTATACATGATTTATAGTCAAATGTTTATATCATTTTGTCCCACTTTTGTATCCCTAGAAAAATTCTTTTCTTTCTAAATAAAGTTGTCCAGACTGACAATAATTCAATCTTATTTCACTTGTGTATGTTTATAACGATATTTTTTGCAAGAAACAAAATCTTGGTCATAATTGAGCCGTTTATTTTGAAAGTGGCATAAGTCACTTTTTCAACAAAATCGAGTAACACTGATTACAATTGAACAGTATCTTCTCATTTAAAAAAAAATTGTGATCAATAAGTTGAGAACTATTAAGATTTGTTCGAGAGAAGTTTTCCTAATTAACGGTATAAAAAACATGTTTATTTTGAAAGTGGCATAAGTCGTACTCAGGAAATTAATTGCGGGGTTTAGTGTAAAAGAAATAGAAACATGTGATAAGTGTGTGTGAAGTATTGTTTTGAATTATTTTTAGTACTTTTAAGAAAATTGTGATCACTGGACTTATTTTTACAAGTGCGAAAGAGAATAGTGCAGTTTTGTAAATTATATTATAGTGATGCGGCGGCTACCTTCAGACCCGGCAGCAGATGGATATAAAATGTTTTATAAACTAACTTTAGATGAAAAAGATGAATTTCTAACTTTGGATTTGTCACCAAAAAGAGGAAGACCTAGGCGTTATTCACAAATAGAAATGGATCCGTTATACGCTGGATCTCGTCCTGTTTCTTCAGCAAAATACAAAGACATGATGGACTTGCTTAATTATATACCCCCAATATACCACAGTTATTTTAAAAATTTGAAACAAAACACGATTTCCGAGGACTTAATCACTCCTATTGATGACGAAAATTAAATTGAACTGATGTATTTTCATATAAATTACTTATACTTATGTTTCAAAATGTACTAATTATTTTTGTATTTTATGAATATTAAAATAAAAAATACTTAAATCAAACCTTTATATTAAATATGTTCATGGTATAAATTATTATTATATATGTAATTTATTCAACAATTTTAGTAAATCACTGTCCTTTCAAAACATCACTTCAGTAAAATACGTCGGACAAAATTAATACATGTCAGTCATTTTTCTAAACTATTTATTTTGAAAGTGGCTCAAGTCACTTTACCGTAATGAAAAGTGGTGATTCTTTAATGTTTATACGAAATTATTTATACTGAGAAAAATATCAGTATCCTGAGATAACAAATTCAAGTAAATCTTCTCGAAAGTTAGCATCCATATTTTGGCAAACCCTTAAATATATCGACTGAAAAACAAAGTGACTTATGCCACTTTCAAAATAAACGGCTCAATTGTAAATGAATCAAAATTCCGTTAATTTTACAGTGTGCTATCTTTCTGTCCGGCACTGTAGAGACGTAGAACGTGTAAACAGAAGGTAAATAAACGATGGTGTCTGATGGGTAGACGCTGTGGGTGGAGCGGCGAACGGGGCGAACCGTGCCGAAGAATGTCGAAGAGAAGCTCGGGCCTCGTTGAACTTGTTCGGGTGGTCTCGACCGCTCGGCCGTCAACACGCAATGCCGTCGTTTCGCGTCGGGTTTACCACACACCATCGGCCGGCCGGGATGATAAAAGTCCGTTCTTATTGCGGCTGATCAGTTGCTGTTCAGAACGTGGCGCGCGAACTGGTGTGCCTCATCCGAAGAAACTCTCGTCCACACTGGCTCTAAATCGGCTGTCCCTAAGGAGATACTGCTGCAAGAAAGACACCGAGAACGACGACACCATGGCTACCAAACGAGATCCTGCCTCCGAGCAGCTGAACGACTACAAAAAGAACACGAAGGTAATTCTCTTCTCCTGTAAATCGGCTATGCTTTTCCGTTTCAGCTTTCCTCTATCCCCTTCGCGCTTCTATTTTCTTTCCTTTTCTCATCTCTCCGCCGTTATTTGTCTTCTTACGTGCGCCACTCGGTCGGTAAAATAGCGCCACGAATTGAACGATCTATAGATCCCCGCTTGTACACAGTTGTTTCGCCATGAGTGGGCGATGTTTTCGTTTGAGAAACGATCGGCGTGACGATCCGTTGTCGAGACGTTCGATTGTGATATGCTGTATTGATACTGACAGAGGAAATAGACATTTTTTTGTTTATAGATTGTTTAGAAAAATTGTTTTACGTGGATATAGTATTCGTTAGTTCGGTTACAGTCAGCTTTATTTTTAATATTCTTGTCTGAATTCGTAACTATGTTGCAAATAATTGCACGAATTTTGATTTTAGTAGGCTACCTTTATACAGGGTGTCCCGCATTTTTCCGTACGTACTTCGGGAGTGTGTTTAACGAGTAAAAAGTAAGACTGAAACGTTATATAACGAAACGTTACCAGAGGCAAATTAATTACGGGAATCAACGTCGTCTGCGAAGAGATTACACGAAATCATAATCAACTGAAATCATCAACAATAAATTCGATAACTCGTCGATGTCTAGTTTGCGTTATAAAAGGAGGGCGTCGCATTGAAACGGTGATATATAATGATCACACTTCAGGAAGTGCAGGACATTTTGTATAAAACATTATAGAAAAATTTAGTTACAGTTCGACCGAGCTTTTTAGCGTGTTTAGCACCGAGCACATTTGCAAATGCTATAAACAAAGTTTATAGTTATAGTTAAAGTTTGGTTTCCGTGCGTTGTTATGATAATAATTTCTGCCTTTTCTATTTACACTGACCGTAAAACTCTTTTATCGAACGCTTTCGTCGGTAAGGTTAAAGTACATGTACAGCAATCCGCATAAATTATCGCGACCATACTGTTTATCGATATTTTGCCACGTTGCCGTATTTCCATAAAATGCCTCGTTCAAACGCGTAGCTAATTCGTAACGAGAGACATCGTCGCAGACAACTGAACGTTATATAGTGTTCCATTAGTATTATTTTTACGCTGATTGCCACTCTCGTTTCGATTGCAAATCAGAAGGGATTTAAAATTTTTCAAGAAACATCATTTCTAGGTAGTATGCCGTTGATTGTAAGATGCCGATTCTCTGTGTGAACGAAACAGTCGCTTAGAATAATGACGACTAGACTGCGGATTTTAGGCATTTATAACAAAGATGAGTTTGTAAAGAAATAAATGAGCAGTTTATTTTGAAAGTGGCATAAGTCACTTTGTTTTTAAGTCGATATATTTAAGGGTTTGCGTTTTAACACGTTTAAAAATATGGATGCTAACTTTCGAAAAGATTTACTTGTATTTGTTATCTCAGGATACTGATATTTTTCTCAGTATAAATAATTTCGTATAAACATTAAAAAATCACCACTTTTCATTACGGTAAAGTGACTTGAACCACTTTCAAAATAAATAGTTTAGAAAAATGACTGACATATATTAATTTCGTCCGACGTATTTTACCGAAGTGATGTTTTGAAAGGACAGTGATTTACTAAAATTGTTGAATAAATTACATGTATAATAATAATTTGTACCATGAACATATTTAATATAAAGGTTTGATTTAAGTATTTTTTATTTTAATATTCATAAAATACAAAAATAATTAGTACATTTCGAAACATAAGTATAAGTAATTTATATGAAAATACATCAGTTCAATTTAATT